GTTGTTAACCAATGTCATAAAACAATATGTGTACTACTGTTTCATGAGAAACTGTTTGTTCTGTAAGCCTTCACCTGAAGTACAATAAAAATTAAAAAAAAAAGAAAGCTGAACAGAATATTTCAAAGGGCAGCTTGAGAAGACAAAATATTATAATGAAATGTGCAAAGACCAGGAGTTAGAAAACCAAAAGGGAAGAATATGCTTGGCTTTTCTCAAGCTGAGAGAACTGAAGAAAAAATTGAAGCCTTGAGTTGCAATCTTGAGGGATTCTATGGGCAAAATATTGAACAATGTATTAACCATCGAAAGCAGATGGAAGGAATACACAGAGTCACTGTGCCAAAAAAATTGGTCAGCGTTCAACCATTTCAGGAGGTAGCATATGATCAAGAACCGATGGTACTGAAGGAAGAAGTCTAAGCTGCACTGAAGGCATTGGCAAAAAACGAGACTCCAAGAATTGACGGAATAGCAACTGAGATGTTTCAACAAACGGATGCAATGCTGGAATCAGTCGTCTATGCCAAGAAATTTGGAAGACAGCTACCTGGCCAACCAACTGGAAGAGATCTATGTTTGTGCCCATCCCAAAGAAAGGCGATCCGACGGAGTATGGAAATTATAGGACAACATCATTAATATCACGCACAAGTAAAATTTTACTGAAGACAATTCAAAAACGGTTGCAGGGAACTGGCGGAAATTCAAGCGGGATTCAGAAGCGGACGTGGAATGGGGGATATCATTGCTGATGCAGATGGATCATGGCTGAAAGCAGAGAATACCAGAAAGATGTTTACCTGTGGATCCGTAGTCAATACCAATGGAAGCAGCAGTCAAGAAATCAAACAATGTCTTGCATTAGGCAAATCTGCTGCAAAAGACCTCTTTAAAATGTGAAAAAGTAGAAATGTCACTTTGAGGACTAAGGTTCGCCTGAACCAAGCCATGGTATTTTCAGTCGCCTCATATGCATGTGGAAGCTGGACAATGAATGAGGAAGATCAAAGAAGAATTGATTCATTTGAATTATGGTGTTGGCAAAGAATATTGAATATACCATGGACTGCCAGAAAAATGAATGAATGTGCTTTAGAAGTACAGCCAGATTGCTCCTTAGAGGGGAAGATGGTGAGACTTTGTCTCACGTATTTTGGACGTGTTATCAGGAGGGATCAGTCCCTGGAGAAGGACATCATGCTTGGTAAAGTGAGGGTCAGTGAAAGAGAAGACCCTCAACCAGATGAATTGACACAGTGGCTGCAACAGTGGGCTCAAACATAGCAACGATGGTGAGGATTGCACAGGACTAGGCAGTGTTCTGTTGTGCGTAGGGTCGCTATGATTCAGAACCAACTTGACAGCGCCTAACAACAACAACATAGACACTGAGAAGCTCAGGTTTAAGAATTCCTGCTGTGGAGTCCCTGCGCAATTTGAGGCTGATGCAGAAAGATCATTTAGTAAGAAAAATTATTTTGTTACGTGCTTCTCTGTTTTATTTGTATCTATACCTCCACCTTGTTTGCATAAAGAATTTAAGGGATGTTATAATATTTGGTACTTTTTCTTAAACAAACCTCCCAGATTAGAGTCACAGATTAGATGGAATTTTATGCTGATTCTCGTTGAGGTACACCAGTATTTTTTAATTTAACAAACCTTTCTTCATGTGTTGAATGCGTACTTTGTTCCTGTGTTAAATACATGCAATAGAGCTGAAAGACCATGGCTTATATAAAAGTCATGCAAACTTGGTTTAGTTACAGAATGGCAATATAGGTCATTATCAAAATGGTCTCCCTCCATGGTCTTGGATTAAAAGTCATGATGTCAAGAAGAATGAGGGAGCCTTTGATTCATTTTATAAAGGAATTGTTTAAAACCTATCATTGGTAATTAGTACATTTGTATTTCCTGTGGGAGCAGTATTACAATTCATGGGATCATCTAGAGCAGTGACCTAATATTTAACTTAATTATCCTTTGCCCCTTAGGAGGAAGAAGATGAAGCAAGTGATGAAGGAAAAGAGCAAGACAGTGATGAGAGTGATGATGACTCTGATTAAACCTCAGAGAGACTATTGCCATCTCCTCCCCATCTCTACCAGCCTCTTAGCATTTTGTGTTCAGGGTTCAAAATCTGCTATCTGCCTTTTTAACTGGAAGCGTCCTTTTTATCCTTAAAGAGGGGGCTTTATCTAATCAACTTAATTGTGGATTTCATAGATTGTCTAACACCACCAAAGACCCTGGCTCAGAATTCCAGTGTACCGTTACTTACTGGTTTGGGTGAGTATGGCAGTGCTGTGCTGCTGAGTAAAAACTCTGTTTAGTGAAGTCTGAGTCTTATAATTCTGGGTTTTGGGAGCTAGTTTCAAAACTCTTTGATTTATTCTATGATTTAAGCCCATACCATTTTTACAAATAAATTCCCTTTTAAGTTCTGCCTCAGCTACCTCATTCCTCCTACTGGCTTTCCTTCATCATTCAAGGATTAGATGGGATTAAATTGGGGTTTGTGCAGAGAAATAATGGAGACTAGTACCAACAAATCACTTCTACGCATTAAAATCGTGTGTTTCCTATTATGAAGACCATCTTTGAAATGAGATCTCTGTGATTGTTCTGGAGGAGTTACTTGAATTTGTCAATGCCCAGAGGAAGTCAAAAAGCAATATTTTCACTGCTTGGTTTTTGTTTTTGCCATGGTGTTAATATAAGACGGGGAAAAAAGACAGCATCAAACTCATGATGACTTTGTGTATATACAAGGTTTATTTCCACATTATTCTGAGTTATACCAATAATCTGTAGTTATAAGAATGTTACAGAATTATTTGTAGGTTATTAAAAATAGAACATTAGGAGTTCACTTCAGCTACAGCGGGGAACTCTGTCTTCTGCTAGAAAGCCCAGTTGCAGTGCTGCTACCAAATTCTTTCTTGCCAAGCTGTAAATATTGTTAAATATTTCTTAATATTTCTACCCACATTTGTACTATCCAATGGTATAAGGGTATGACTTGTTAGGTGTTTCTCTTCCTGGTGGGAGGAGGTATTTAATTTTTATTTTTTAAAAATAATCCTGGACTCACGTTAGATTTTTGACCCCTTCATCCTCTGGTATATAGAAATCCATACGTCCCCTTCCCTGATAGCCCTTTGTTCCCCAGCTGATTGTGGTCTTTCGTGTTTTAAGTGAAATCACACTAGGCGCATTGGTTTATGTGGTTTGTTTAATGGCTCTTTATCACATGTACATGTCAGTGCTAGTTTGACTTTCTTTTAAATGGTTGTTCAACTTTACAGGGGAGATGTTCTCTCTTGCTCTATGTCACTGGCCTTTTTTTGGAGGGAAGGGGCTTCTGAATTGTCACTGCTTGACAGCAAAGCAAGTGGCTGGGGTGGTGCCACGGTTCTGTTTACGTGGACAGGTTCTGTAAGCTTCCGGCACATACCAAAGGAACTGGGAATCAGACAGAAACCCTTTACTTGGAGTGTTGCAAGGCAAAGGTGCACTTCTTGTATGTTGCATACAACAAGAGGATAGAGCGCAGCATCTGTTTGCACATAGTCACTGTCATCTGAATCTGAGGCTCCTTAAGTCCAGTGGGCCACTGGTGCTCCCGACTGATGATTTTGCAAAAGGCTGACTTGTCTGAAACTCTGAAGGTCCCAGTCCACTTTGGCGGCTGAGCTGTAATGACCCTGCCAAAGACAGAATCTACGCCACTGAGGCGGACAGGCTGGGGCTTCCTGACCAGCCCTTTCTTGTTGTTCATGGTTTGGAGCTCTGACGTGTGGCAGGGTAACTTGGGACTCACTCCAGTTTCCAGAAATGGGCTGTCTAGGACTAGCGTGACCTCTTGAAAGCACAGCTGCACTTCAAGGTCAGAAGGGGTGTGTGGGAAGCAGGGGGATGCCCTAAAGGGGTGTTTGGAAGAAGGTGTAGGTGTCGTGTGCCGCAGCCATTGAAAGCTCTCATCCAGTGGGGTCCATGGTGACCAGAGCTGGTATCCCGCCATTGAAAATCCTAAAGGAGAGGAATCAGAACATGGAATTTCCCTGGCATGCTTTTGGTGGGGGCATGGCTGTTCAAATTCGTATCTCTGCCTCATTAATGACTTAAACTTACTCTGTAGTTCCCATGAACAGATTCCAACAGGTGTTGGAGTGTTAGTAATTCTATAAAAGACAGTAGGGGATGGTAGCTAGTGTTGAATCTAGCAACTGCTGTGTGTGCTAACACTTTATTAAACCTTATCACAAGCCTCTGAAGGTAGGTTTAACCCATTTTACAGATTAGGAAGTGGATTTGTCTGAACTGGACTATCCCAGTCCATCTTTAGGACCTCTGCTGTGTTGATAACGGCTAAAGAGTCAACTCCTCTGAGGTGGCAGAGGCTGCTGGAACTTCAGGATAAAACATTATTTGTGGTTAGAAGCTTAGAAAGACCATGTCTTACCAAATATTTATAACTCTAAATCCCATGTACTTTTCTTTACACCATTGATTCTCGAAGTATGATCCCTGGACTAGTAGCTTCAGCACCATCTGGGAATTTGTCAGATACATGCAAATTATTGGGCTCCACCTCAGACTTACCGATTCTAGAAACTCTGCCGATTCTAGAAACTCTGCCATTCTAGAAACTCTGCCGATTCTAGAAACTCTGCCGGTGGGAGCTCAGCAATATGCGTTTAAATAAGCACCCCAGGGGATGTACCTTATAGTTTGAGAACTTCTTATGCTTCCCCTTTTGAGGAATTCAAGCTTTCACCATTCTTAATTATGGAGACAGCCTCTTCTTGGCCCTACATCCTCAGTGTTTCCTGACACAGAGAGTAGCTCTCTTTCAGAGCCCTGGCCTACCTATGTACAGGCTCAGAGAAATTACACCGGGCTGGGAGGAAAAAAAGTTTCCAAGGCCAGTCTACAACATTTTAAAGATTTTTCCAGTTTTTCTAAGTATGTCTTTTTCTCATCTAGGAGAGACCCACCATGTGGTTAAGACCTTGATTTTTTTTCCCCCTCCTTTGGAGATAACTCTTTAAGGGCTGGGAAGATATTGCTAACTCAAAAATTTTGCCAGTAGAATTTGGATTTCCGATCATTATACTTCGAAAGTGCCAGTATATAAAGAGTTTTTCTGAATTCAGAAGAAGCTAACATTTTGAGCACCTACCTATATGTTAAGAGGCATAGTAGATCCCTTTTCTTTCCAGCCAAGTGTATTCCTCTGCCCCTTCTCTGTTCTCCCACAAAAGCCAACAGCAGCAGATCTGATCCCATCCCATCCAGTAATTGCCCTGGAAGTGCTATGAAAAGTGGACACCTCGACCATAGTTTGTGACACGAACTATTGATTTTTAGTTTTGAAAGAACTGTTGGTGACATTTCAGACCAGAAGACCTGCTCTTGACAATGCTTAATATAAAGGAGGTTTGTTGATTTCCTCCAACTAGTAGGGTTCTCATAATCTGTGCAGGCCCTTTGTACATACTAAGTGTTCAAATATCTGGGCTGCCTTAGGATGAGAAACACTGACACCCAAGGGACAGCCTGGAAAGTCTTCTGATGCTTGATATCATGACCCTAAGAGCATATATCCAAGATCAGGGCTACTCTGGTACAACTCCTCTGGGCATATGATGAAAAAAAGATAATCCCAGGATCCTTTTCCTTATTCATTTCTTATGATAAAATAGAACCAGAGGTGAAAGGTTTTGTCAAAGGTCAAACCTAGGATGTGTAGCAGAACCAGCAGGGGATGAGAGGACTCCTGACTTCAAATCTTTCTACCACTTCACACAAGGTTTAGATAAAGGTGGTTCACCCCCACTGCCCCTTGGAGATCGCTATCATCCACTCCAGGAGGGTTGAACCTAGGAAGTCTGTTCAGGCTGCTCTAGTAGCCCCCAGCTGGGAGACTCCTGTTTCTCCCGGGCGAACAGGCTTCCCCCTTCATACCCTCCTCTAATTCCAAGGAGCCCCTGGAATTTCCCCACCTGGGAAATAGGAAGGCAGCAGCCAAAGTGCAGCTGAGGTTCTCGTGAACTGCGATCCAGAGGGTCTGGAGCTGCCCGGGTTTGGGAGGCTCCCCCCCCCAGCCAGAAGAAAGAGCTTGTCTCCCGGGGTCCCTACCCGGAGGCGGGGCCCAGAGGGCTCTGGCCAAGGCGGAGGTGGCTGTGGGAGCCCGGGCCCGGTCCCACCATCCGGGCCGGGGGCTCACCTGCTGAACTCCGCGGGCCCCACGCTCCAGAGTGGCGGCCGCTGTACCCGAGCCGCATCTTTTCTCCACCGGGCGCCTGGCAACCGCCTTTGTGACCCAGGATCTCGGAGAAGCCCGAGCCGCAGGGGCGGGGGGGTTGGGGGGTGGGTGCTCGAGGCGCCCCTGCTGTGAGGCGTCAGGGTTGGACTCTCTACCCCACCTCCTTAAAAAGCCGGTTCTGAGACTCGTTCTTCAGGAGGGTGGATTCGAATCCCGTCTTCCTCTCTCCTCTCCCCACTCTCCCAGTCTTACCTGTGTGTGTTTTCATCAAGTCTCAACCTCAGCATCCAGCACCCGTTCCAACACCTGGAACAGAGGCCGGACACACCCACTTCAGAGACACTGGTCAGGAACGTGCATAAACGTCCTGGGACCTGTAGTTAATAAAAGTTAGTGTCTAATTACACCCAGTTCATTGAGTGTTCAGGTGGAATTACCTAGATCCCTGAAGGCCTTTATTGCTGTATTTTGGAATGATCCCATTGCAAGGAAACAATTTATAAATGCTAGGACTGTCAAGAGCAAAAAAAAAGATACATCTTTCCTTGATTTTCTGACTGAAAGTTAAATCTCAAAACTGTCCCATCCTTATAATGCTGAAAAACTGACACCTTCACCTTAAGGCGTGATTTGACAGCTCTGTAAGCATCATGTCAAAAAACTACCCTGGATCACTGAGGGAAAAGAGGATGTCTGTCCGGTTCACCCCCTATCCCCTGTGCCCGGCTATCAGGTGCCTGTAGTGTGCTGTAAGGATTTGTGGGAGGAATTGACTAATGGCCCACCTGTTCTTCCATCATACACCCAAAAGTCACCCTTGCACTTTTCAAGAGGTAGAAGACGGCACAATAAGAGCTGTCACCTTTTGCTTGGCTCTTTGGGTGAAGCTGGAGGGGAGGGACTAGGGACGTGGGGATGGGATCAGGCCAAGATCTTGTTCTGGAAGATAGTCTTGAGGGACTCGTGAAGGAGGCCCACAGTCAGACGCCCACTGTGCGTGTGTATGTGCCCTGTGGAAGGAGAGGCAAGGGAAGAGAATGATGAGACTTGGAAGGGATACAAGTGATTTTTGAATTATAAACCTTTTTTTCCAGTAAGTTTACTTTTATTTTCCCCTTAAATAAAATCAGCACCTATTATTTTAAAAAGTTAACAAAACAATAATAGTTTTTATTGCAGTTTTTTTTTTTAAATGTAAGTCCCCAAAGCAAAATTGTATGATTAAAAATTGTTGGACAGATACAAGTGTATTTAATTTTCTGCTCTCTGCATAAATGTAAACTGACCTTGAGTACGTGATTTGTGAGGTGTCTGGCACGATTTTTAGCGTGTTACTTATCCTTACTCCATAATCCTCCCGATAGTCCTAACCCATCAATGTTGCTATCCTCGTATTACACGTGAAGAAACCAAAATTCAGAGGGATGAAATGATTCATCTCTGGTAGATTTGGGATTTGAAACCTAGATGGCCTGCCTTTAATTGATAAGTAGGTCTGTCTGACTTCTTTGTGACATGGGAGCAAAAAATTACATCAATAGCATCACTTATAAAGTAGGGCCTCAAATAGGAAGACTGTGTATACACCCAGGGCTCCCTAGTTGTCAATATCTACTTATTTTAGAAATCATTTATGTGAATATGTAGAAGAGCTCAGACAGACCTGTTTTCAGAGTGGCCAAGTAAAAAGATAACAGAGTATGGAATCAGCTGGTTAAGGTCAACCACTTAAAAGGCTGTGTGACCCTAAACTTCAATTTTCTCATCTGTAAAAGGGTGGTAATGTAATCTCTTCCTGACTTCCTCCCACAGGGTTTGTGAGGGCCCAGCAAGGTAATAACTGCCAAGCATTTTTATGAACTATAAAATCTTCTACCAGAATAAAGAACTGTTAGAAATGTTTTCTTCTCAACTACTGCTAAAAGTAATCTGACTTTTCACATTTTTTATAAAAGGCATTTACTGAACAAACCAGATTGTAAATATTCCCCCAAACCAAATAAAATTGCTCATAATTCTACCTTAACAAATCAGATATTGACATTTTTGGTATATCCTTGTTGTTGTCAAGCAGACATTTTTTACATAGTTTCAGTTTTAAAAAATTGTATTGTTTTCTTGATATAGTCTTCATAATTAGCATTTAAATGACTGCACAATATTCCCTTAAGTGGCTATACCATTGTTTAGCCATTCCTCAGTTGTTGGAGATTTAGTGTTTTTTAATAGATTATGCTATAAAGAGTATCTTTGTGTTTAAAAGATTTTTTTCAATGCTTCTTAATGAAATTAGGTCAAGTAGTTTGAATTTTTTTTTTTTTTTTTTTTTACAGCTTTTTCTATCAATTAAAAAAGTTCCTTCTGAAAGGACTGTGCCAGTTTACAGTGTGGCCAGTTATTTATGAGTCTACCAATTTCACCACAGCCTCTCCATCACTAGGTAGTATCGTTTGCTCATTTGATAAATGCAGGTGAAACATCATGCTGCGTTGTTGAAAGGCATTTTTTTTTTTAATGACATATTTAGTGAAGTTTAATCTGTTGTGCCCATCTTAATGCTGACGCAGACTGCAAAACCTCAGCCTGGAGCAGCTGAGGAAGAGGCGACTTAAGCCCACGCACCTCCTAACGACCATTACGACCAGTGGCTGGGGGCTGGAGGGCTCTTAGCGCGTGCTCTCTCCATTCTCCCCGCCAGCATTAGGGAAATCTCTTTGCACTAGAGTGGGAGAAGAACAAAAACGCAAGCGAAGACTTGACGTTGCGCAGGCGCGCTACAATGCTCGTGGAGTTCCTGGGTCCCAGGGAATGGGTGTGGTCTGGCGGCGCAGGCGCACTGGCGGCCTGTAGGGTCGGGGCGCCTGCGCAGTCGCTCTTCTTCAGGCGGCGGCCATGGCGGGACAAGAGGATCCGGTGCAGCGGGAGATTCACCAGGACTGGGCGAACCGGGAGTACATTGAGGTTATCACCAGCAGCATCAAGAAAATCGCGGACTTTCTCAACTCGTTCGGTCAGCGGGCGAGAAGGGGGAGGCAGGGAGGAGGGAGGTCTTTGAGGCGGTTTGGCCAGGGCGCTGAGAAGATTGGTCGGGCCTCTCCGGGAGCCCTCGGTTCTTGCTCTTTCTCGCTTCCTCCTTCAGGCCCCACCTTCCCTCTCTCACCGGGACCCACAGGCTCCTTTAGGCAGTTTCTGTGGGGTTATCCTGCCTTAAGCTGAGCTCATCGGCCTTATTGCATTCACCCTGGGTGCATTAATAAGTCCTTCCTTTTCCCAGGCACGTCTCTCAGGCAGCCTCATCCACCCTCTGCGTCTTTTCTCCTCACTAGTCTCCCGGCCCCTATGGGCTCCGCTTCCTATCCAGCCCCGACTTGGCACTCAGAGTGCGCCTCCCAAAACGCAGCCATGACTCCGTCATTGCCCAGCTTAAAGACTCTTGATGTTCCCCTTCTCTTTCAGAATCAAGTTGGAACCTCTTAGCTCCTTGTATGTCTTTTCCTGCATACCTTTCAGCTACTCTCCTGTCCATTCCTTCCTGTCTGCCGTGTATACTGTGCTGAGAGTGGTAGGAAATGAGATCAGAGAGGTAGGTAAGGTCCAGGTCGTGTTATTAGTTGCCATCAAGTCGATTCCGACTCATGCATTGGAAATCTCTGTATTGCTAGTATAGAGTAGGTGTTCTTTTTGCTTCTACGCTGTTCCTCAGAACTAACATTGGGAGGTGCCTTGAGCATAGAGACAGCGTCACCAGAACCTTTCCCAGGAATGTTCTGCTTGTGACAGTCTTAAATTATTTCTGCATGTTTAGTATCCTTTGGAGAGCAGGCCTGTAACAGAGAATCCTACCCCATGTTCTCCAAGTGTTTCTTTCAGAGAATTTGGCATTGGGTAGACTTTCTAATTACATAAGGTGTGGGGATGACATGTAGTTTTCTTTTTCCAGCTAGTGTGCTTTGGTTCCATTAATTCAACAAGATTAAGGAATTAAGATTAAGTAGGGAAAACTGATGTATAGATAAAATATTTTAAAATGAATTATTTTCTAGGTGAATGGCTGATAAGTCGTAAGGAGTATAAAAGTGATAGAGCAAGAGCTGTGTCAGAAAGCATCAGCAAGAGAAACTAGATCTCAGTGCAAAGCTCTGTCTCAGATACTGTGGGGGACCCAGAATAGGAATGAATTCTGCGATCAAGAATTGCCCCATAGGGCTTTCAAAGCTGTAAGTCTTTTTGGAAGCAGACTGCCACGTCTTTCTCCCACAAAGCGTCTGGTGGGTTTGAACCATCGACCTTTTGGTTAGCAGCTAAGCGTTCTAACTGCTGCACCACCGGGGCTCCTTAACTGAGGAAATAGACACCCAGAATTCTAATTTAGGAGCCAGAAGAAATGGCTTCCCTTAGTTTAGGCCATTATCCTCCCTTAAAGTGATGGTAATGGCCTAATGTTTGGAGTAATTTTTAGGTTTTTGTAGATTTTAGAAAATGAACTAAGTCCTTTTATAGAAAGCACAGTTAATTACAAGTAAGGAAGAACAGTTAGGAAGCAAGATTAAAAATTAAAGTGATTGATTTAGAAATTTGGAAATTAGGTGTAACTGAAGCAAGTTCCTGAACAGTGACAATATCATGACACAAGGGTTTAGACAAAGGCCAAGAAACAGGATGACTCATAAGGATAGACTTGAGTACATTGTCTTGGCATTGGATGATTCAGTATGATAGTGTGTGGGATATATTTTTCCCTTTCTAAGCCGTTAGCATGCCTTGTCAGTTCCGATATTAATTTGCAAGACTTGTGTTCATAATATGATTTGGTGGTGCAGAAATTCAATAGGAGTTTATTTGAGGGAGCATCTAGAGCTGTTTGAAAATGACAGCAATCTTTCAATTCTCACTCTGACCACAGAGTGTCTGTGGAGGCCATGTGCTTTGGAGAGGGAACTGGT